CCAAAACTACCACAACTTCTGCAAACGGACTCCAAATTCGACGAACCCAAGTTTGTTGGAAAGCTAGCGACAAGGGCTAACACAATCTTGATAGAAATACTAATAATAAGCAAATGAGAAAAGGCCCAAAAGAAAATGTTGAGAACCCTTCCTCGGATAAGACCGGTAAAACCTCCAACACCGAAAACATCATAGAAGACGCATGCAAACACCGTTTTCGATGAACTCAAGCTTGTCATCAAGATGACCATAAGCTCTAAGACTCACAAAGAGAACCAAACAAGAACCAAGAAACATGATGCAAGGATACAATGGTTTGAGCTCTCGACGAATGATACGATCAAGCTACTCACTTGAGAGCCCCCCTTGATAGTACGACTATCGATCCTATAACCCGGTCTCCCAACTACCACCATGAGACCGGTAAAATAGAAAACCTATCAAGGCAAACCTTTGCCTTGCACATGATCCACTTGAGCTAAATGATGACGATCTTGTCCTCCTCGAGATGGACCACCTTTCTTGATTGCGTTGGGTCGATGGAAACTAGATGATTGCTCCCCCATACTCCACTATGGGTGAGCCACTCTTCGACACATCTTCACAAGTCCATTGACACCACAATGGATGGCAAGCTTCAAGCACTTGATCTCTTCGTGATGCTCCACTTGAACTTGCACACGGCAATCTTAATGACGATCACCACTTGATGTCATCCTTTCCATGGGTTGTATGATATCTTCCTCTTGACGCAAGCCCATGGACACGTACCTAACCCCACATAGATTTCTCACATAGACCATGGGTTAGTACACAAAGTGCAATGGACAATGCTTACCATACCATGGGATCACTTGATCCCTCTTGGTACATCTTCTACGCTTTGTAAGTTGACCAACTTGATTCACTCTTGACTTAGTATTGATCAACCTTGAATCTTTCCAACTCCCTTCGTTTGGATAATGTCTTGAAGGTAAACATGAATGATCACACAATTTTCTTCTTCAAGACATGCTTGCAATAAGCTCAACACTCACATGACCAATCTTTGGATAATTCCTTAATAGCACCTTGGTCAAGCCGTAAACTCCTTGAAACCAACACATGGACTTCAAGAAATGCCTATGGAAAAATCCTTCAAATATAACTCAATGCATCCATTAGTCCATAGAGAATGTCATCAATTACCAAAACCACACATGGGGGCACCGCATGTCCTTTGAAAACCCACCGCAGACTCATCATCACCACACTAAGAAACTCAAGAAAAAACACTAAGCCGCACAATGCTCCCTGTCCTCTCCATAGATCGCATTCATCTCGCCTCCACGTTGTGGTGATTCAACTAGTGGGTTTCAATAGGCTAAAGGCTAGCCTCCAAAACCCGTATTTGAACTAAACATATCATTTAACGATTCGATTGAGGTGCTTACATTCAACAATACATTTATTGATTGGATTGAAGAATTCGATATTTTAAGCTTATCCTCCATTATCATGTTAGATTCGTCACCGCCTCCACGGCCAGTCTCTCTGCATAGTGTATCTGTCCTCTCAACTCTTACTCTTTAATAACTATGTGATTATTCTGTCTGCATGATATAACAAAAAGTGCATAATTCATTAATGTGCTTAATCTTTGTAAATGTTGTATAATGAATGATCCACTGAGAAACAAAGTGCATAATACATTCATGATAATAGACATGAACGTACCGACAGCACAATCCAATATTTGTCACTTATTTATACCGAACATTTTTTTCTATATATTATCTTGGAATTAAATTTGAATTGTTTTTTCATTGACATGGAACTTTGTTGTGCAACATTATTATTTTCATGTCGTATCTATGAGCATTGACTATGTGCATTACAATGAGTTCAATATTGTATAACAAATACAACAGTATTAAATAAAATGTTATTTTGTTGTGCAAATTATGCAATTTCGTAGATATTGGTTTGAGATATTTGGTCTATATGAATTCCCTAATTATAAGGAAATCAGAAAATATGTCAAAATCACATTTGCCTAATGCATAATTTGGGCACACATGGGTATCACTGTATCCTTATATGTGTAACTAATTTCAGATCTTTAAATAGAGGGCTCTAAATGGGCGTGAGTAATAAATATCCTGCTAGTGGTTTGTAGAGTGAGATTCTGGAGTGTACGAGGGAGGGTAGATAAAAGAATGTGCGAGTTATTGTCCCCGAGATCTATTCTTGCCTTTGCAAGTTGGATTGCTCGTTTCGTCTCTCTTTTGTGGTGCAATTCGCGTAAGCGTTTTCTAGGCTTGTAGTTGATGAGCAATCATATGGCCCATAGTCACATACAACAATGCTTGCAAGTCTAGAGTCAATTTATAAAATATATTTTATGTTGGTTAGTCTAGATGAGCGCTACATCTTCTGTCTTCTAGTACTAAATAGTTACAACCATTTACCTATTTTTTTCTAACCATACAACCATGCCACATAAGCTAGTCATGTGTGCAAGTCGTAAATTACATTTGTTGTATTACTCTATGTATGCAATGCTGCCACAACATCAATTTGTGGATCTTAGTCATAGGTTATTTTCGTGTTAGATTTTGTATGGACGATATATGTGCTGTTGATTACAGCATACCAACGTAGTTCAACATTTAGATTTTCTTAGAAATGGCATCTTTTAACTGTAATTCATTTTTTCTCTTTGTAGACACTTTATTTTGTTTAAGCTTACATTTGATTTCCATCAGTTTTGGATGTTTTTGTACCAAACTTTTATGCATTTTTAGCAAGTTCCGGCGACAACACGTGGGGCATCATATAGTTTACTCCATGTCAAGTGGCAACAACCTGCAAGTGCTGGGTGGGAGACATGAATACAAAGTAGAGTATGTTTGATTGGTGTATTTGCGTAAAAAATTTACTAGCTTACAATCAGTGGCGAATCTAGCATGATAATGAAATGTAGGCTTAAAACATCGAGTTCCTAAGCCTAATTAGTAAATGCATTGCAATTGTTGCATGTAAAGCCTTTGAATATAATTTTCAAGTGGTATATTTAGTTGAAATAGGATTTTGGAGGGTAGGCTTAACCCTATTGAAGCCCCCCTGGTGGAATCGCCACTGCTTACAATAATTTTGCTCTTCGGTTCTCTGCCTTTTATAAAGCTTTGCATGGTCGTCACATTTCCTTTGCAACTCTTGCTAGAAAGTTTGGAAGAATCAAGGAATCTGTTTCAAAACTGTCTTTGGTTTCACTTTATAATAAACCCATACGGTCAACCGATACAAGGTGCTAGGAATCAGATGAAAGAAAAGCCGGACAAACATAAATACATCAAAAAAGCACAAGACACACACGGAGCGTTCCCCTATCATGGGCAAGCTTAAGCACTATAGAAGCCACATTGCAAGAAGAATAGCCCCGTGGGAACCTACGAATCATGACCCGCGCCTCCGGAAGGAACACGGTTTGCATGGCTATGCCCCTCACCCAACCATCATCGGAGAGCAACCTATGAAACAACTAGGAACGAGAGCGCAAACAAGATGGGCACGTTTAAAGAATAGGAGGCATCAAAATTGCCACATGCCAGCACTAAGGATACTTTGAGCTATGATCTGGGCCCGCCAGAAGATGTCGTTGCTACGTGATTTGAGATCCCCAACGACGCTCTAAGAAGGTCATGACATAGAGTGTCACAACCGTTGAGTTCGATAGAGCGGACAAGAGTTTTCACCCCAAAACCTTGACACGGGAGAGAAAGAGCACAATAATGCCCCAAGAGGAATGTAATACCCACAGGCATCGCTGCCAGAAGTCGGGCACAAAGCTTCCGCTCGATATCTACCCCACGTCACATGGAGGGACCAAAGTCACGAAGCACGTAATGGTGTAAGGCACACCACGAACGAACCGACAACTAAATTGACATCTGAGCTCATACTTCACCACCACCAGCAACTTCATCAAGACTACCCACTACCGTACCTCTTGCCACCCGCGCAGTCAAGAAGCACAACCAACACCTCTCTCTCACACGATACTCGCCATGCTTGCAAAAAGCAACATTTTTGTGTCTAATAAGGGGCGAACTTCAGTGCTACAAAAATATTCAATCCACGCAAAATTGACGAGCACACGCATGTACATGTGTTTTTTTCTTCTCATTGCTGGCGTGCACAAATCGTTTTTTACGTAATAATGTTTTTAAATTTGTTAAAATCGTATTTCTTTTTCGCCCGAGAACTAATCTTTTTAGGAGTTTTTTCTTTGAGATTTTTTTTTGTAGAATTGTATGCTGCGAATTTAGTAGAGTACCTGGCTTGGGCCCATGAGTTGTTGCAAGGCAGCTAATAAATCCAGAACCTACCGGCCCTGATGGCCCATGAAACAGGCGCTCCCCCAGCCCCCTGACGGCCCATAAAGGCACAGGCGCTCCCCCAGGCCCGCCGATTCGCGCCAAAAACCCGAACCCGCGTAGCGAAACGCGGCGCGCGCTCGCTCGCTCGGCTTCCCGCGAAGCCGAAGCCGAGCTGCCCCGTTCGCGCCAAAACCCGCCCCCCTTCTCCCGCCGTTCTCCGGCTACTTCTCCCCTCTCCACCAACACCTGACGGCCACCCACCTGACCCGAGCCGCCCTCCCCTCCCCCGCCCGCCCTCCGTCTCCCGATCCCCGGCTCCCCTCGGCCTCCCGCGGACGCGCGCCGCAGATGGGTCCCGCCACGCAGCAGCGCCACCGGACGCGCGCGGGGCGGCCGGCCGCCAGGCGGCCCAGGGCGACGGTGTCCGAGGACGACGGCGGCGTCAGGTGCGAGGCGTGCGGGTCCGGCCGCCACGCGGACGAGCTGCTGCTCTGCGACGGCTGCGACCGCGGCCTCCACATCTTCTGCCTCCGCCCCATCCTCCCGCGCGTGCCCGCCGGCGACTGGTTCTGCCCCTCCTGCGCCGCCCCCGCCGCCACCGCCCATTCGGCCAAATCCGCCGCCGCCGTCCAGACCAAGATGCCCAAACGTAAGTCGAAAAGAATTAATCCCATATCGTTGACCATTTCTGGATTGGATCTGCTCGTTCGCTGACTCGGATCTCGTGATTTGGTTTCAGAGTTCCCGCTGATCCAGACGAAGATCGTCGATTTCTTCAAGATCCAGCGGCGCCCGGCGTTCGCGGCCGCCGAGCCGCCGGAGGGGAAGAAGAGGAAGCGGAAGGCCGCCAGCGCGCTGGTGGTGTCCAAGAAGAAGAGCCGGAAGCTGCTGCCCTTCACCCCCAGCGAGGACCCCGGCCGCCGCCTCACGCAGATGGCCTCGCTCGCCACCGCGCTCACGGCCACCGGCGCCGTCTTCAGCAACGACCTCACCTACGTGCCCGGCATGGCGCCCCGGTCCGCCAACCAGTCCGCCCTCGAGGCAGGAGGGATGCAGGTCAGACGCTTCCTCCAGATCCAATTCCACCACCCGATCTCGACTAAATTCAGTGTCGCGACGCCATTTCTGTTTTTGCTGAAACTCGGGTGACATTTCATCTCAGGTGCTGCCGAGGGAGGATGCAGAGACATTGAGCCTCTGCAAGAGGATGATGGAGCAAGGGGAATGGCCCCCTCTCCTCGTCGTCTTCGATCCAGTGGAAGGGTTAGTACTGTCGGCACAATTCAGTGCTAATTTCTGATCTTGTTCTTCAGAACCCGTCAGGCACTGATGATGATTGTGTGCAATTTCCTGGACAGATTCACGGTGGAGGCAGACAGGCACATCAAGGACCTGACCATCATCACCGAGTACGTCGGCGATGTGGACTACCTTCGAAACCGTGAGCATGATGACGGGGACAGCATGATGACCCTGCTCTCTGCCGCGCTGCCGTCCAAGAGCCTCGTCATCTGCCCTGACAAGCGGAGCAACATTGCGCGGTTCATCAATGGGATAAACAACCACACGCCGTAAGCATTCTCTTCCTCCGACCACCACCGTGCATTTACGCATTATTCGGAACCATGTCTGAAATTTTTTGCATGATGATGACCATTGCAGTGAAGGCAGGAAGAAGCAGAACCTCAAGTGTGTGCGGTTCGCCATTGACGGCGAGTGCCATTGTCTCCTGGTGGCCAACAGGGACATCTCCAAGGGGGAGAGGCTGTACTACGACTACAACGGTGACGAGCATGAGTACCCAACTCACCATTTTGTATGACACATGGGCTGATGTTTAGTCTGCAATCTGCATATTCATTTTATCTGTAATCATAGGAAAACGATTATGATGATCCCATTCCCCCAAAACTCAACATGTAGAGTCATCTAAGTGGTTGATAGATCTTGAAATTTTTAAGCTGGAAAAGGGGAAAAGGGGAATTGTAAACATTGTGTATCCAATGGAATGGAATGCAATGGCAAATGGGTTTGTTCTGTTCATGCCTGTGCCTGGTGTAATTGCCCTTACTCAATGTTTTTGTTCGAAGGCACAAATGCCAAAAGAAGATGAAATATTTGGTTCAGAGTATCCCATTTCAGTTGAAATTGTGCTACTCCCTCCGTATCAATGTCACAAATAAATGACTTTAGAGACAGTTGGCATGGTCCTCAAGATGGAGGGTTCCACTAATTCATAACACAATATATTTACAATATTTTAAAAATTATAAATATCTTTTAAAACAAATCTATACATATGTTTTCAATATTTTGGACAATTAAAATGGTATTCATAGTTAGTTTTAAAAGCTTAACTGAAGGTATCCAAGATGTCACTTATTTGTGCAAGTCAAGTGAAACTCACAGGGCTGTAGGGCTGAGCCAATCTAGCTTAGCAGTTTTTTTCTTTTCTTTCTAGAGCGAGGCATAGGGGCATCTGAAATGTTGAATCAAAGTTTGAAATGGCTTATGATTGTGCGTATGTCTAGATGTCCAGTCAGGTCCAACATAAGCTGTGGTGAGAATAAGCTTGTCAAATTTGTGAGGACGGGTTTAGAACAAACTTATGGATATCAGTTTATTCTGAGTGGTGAATGGTGTAATGTTTGAAATAGCCCTTGGAAGCTTCCGTGCCTTAAAGGCACCTGCCTTTGGGTCATTGACATGTGGGCCAGCCATCTGTTGGACCCACATGTCATAGACACAAAGGTAGGTGCCTTAAGGCACCGAAGCATCGTCCCCCTTGGAGTAGTCTAGTAGATGGAACAATTGTTTCAGCCCGTTATTTGTGCAAGTTGCCGCGAATATGAAGTTCTACAAAATACACTCATCTTGACCATACATAATGATTATCGATGCATCAAGTGAATCTACTCATGTGCAGCAAACAAATAAAAAATCTGCTTTCATGCGACGCACTGAAAATTAGCACTACATGCACATTCTGGACAGGTAGAAGGGAGCGTTTACCTCCACATAAGCAGAACACACTAGATCAGCCATCTACAATTTTACAAATACTTTTGCCATCAAAATACAATGCAAGTTCTCAAGTTTTCTTGCCTTGCCTACAAAAATAATGACCACAAATTTTGGCGAATCGTTCATCTCGCTGCCATTAAACTCGTGGCTATTCCGTTTTGCAGAGGTCCGTCCAAAAAGTAATATTTTCCCTCAAACAACACAAAGCGTTGATCACACAAAGAACTGTCACAAATGTCGTTATGCAAACACATGCATACGACAACTATCTTCTTTTTCTTATCAACACAGAAGCATGTTATGCACATAACAATAGTACACCGTTTCATCCTGATACAAAGATCAAAGTTATGCATTTAGGCAGAGGATGTGATCCCAGTTCATCTTGGGATGCAAGAATTGAACAGATTCATGTGAAATTCCATCCACATGAATTGATCGTCAATCATTTGAAAAGTGTGCAGAAATCCAGCACAGCAACACTTGCATGCAACATCAGGAACACCACAGACACACACACTAGCTCTAGTTGAGAGCTGGCACAAAACAGAGACAATAACAGAGAACAGGAACATATGAAAGAACAAGCAAAGTTTACTAGTAATGCAAGCTATGATACTGTCAGTCAACCGAATGGTCTCACTGAAATGACCCCTTTGCAAAGTTTAAGCTAACAATCGCAGTTCAAACCAAATCGACATAACATTCAGCTAGACTGCTAGAGCTAGCCAACAGGTTACAGAAGTTTCTGGCTGCCTAACATAACCAACTTGAGCATCACTTAGATGTGTGGCCATTCGGTCCAAAGCATGGTATGCTTATCAGTCCCTATCTCCCCCTCGCAGGCGAGCGGCTGCACAGATGAAAGCAAGCTCAGTGTGGTGCTTCAACGCGATTTAGCAAACACAAGGAAGCATTTTCAGCATACTAACCTGCGGCGCCTGTCATAGGCAGCACTGGCTTTGCTGCATTCAGTCATACTTGGCGCTAGTCCTCTCATCTCCTTTGCCGCTGCATGGGCTTCCACCACGGACATAGTCAGGACTAGCTCTGGCCATTAGAGATATTAGTATGACTGTCAATGCTTGATACATTAGTATAGTCATACCATTATAGGAGGTGATTCTACCAAATTAGAGAACAAACTACTTTTGAAAATTGACATGTTTGTGAACAACACCACTGGAAACAAGGACAGAACGACCAAAGACTGTAAACTATCCACCATCCATGCCATGGGTTAGCTCTATACAATATTCAAACCAAATTATAAGATTCCAGAATATAAGAACTATCTGTTTTTTTTAGCAAAAACAGGCCCCTACTGTAACTCTTTTCCATTATATAATGGAATAATTACAAATGGTGGGGTATAGCATAGCTATGATCTTACAAATGTTCCTACAAATAATCTAACCATGATTGCATTCCCTCCTTAAGACTAGGTTTGGTTCTCTTGATCACCATAGCAAAGTGTTCTTTGAAGCAACTGATGCAATATTCTAAGTTTCTTTGTTTGTGATCAAAGATGATGCCATTCCTGTGTTTCCATAGGGCCCAGCAACCTGCGATCAAACATTCTTTGAAACATTTGATTGTAATTCTGTTTTTGGCCTCCATCAACATATCAAATATAGTCAAATCTGCATTCCATTCAAAGCCCAGAGCAATCCAGAAGTTTTGACTTAAATCACATGAAAATAATAGGTGGATATAATCCTCATTAGATTCATCATCACACAAAACACATCTGTTGTTTTCCACATAGAAGTTCTTTCTGGTAAGTAGGTCCCTTGTGTTCAATCTGTCTTGTAGGAGAAGCCAAAAGAAGAACTTCTGTCTATGCAGACAGCTGGATTTCCATATCGAGTGAAAGTTTGGCCGCATCAGGTGGATTACCAGCAAACTGAAGGTAAATTCTTTTTGTGGAGTATTTAGTGCTAAGACCAGTAAAAATTCCATGTATCTTTCATAGAAATATCTGGCAGTCCATAGGTACTCTAGTAACACAAGACATGAAAAAACATTACCCGGATAAAAATGTGGTGAGGTTTGAAAATAAGAAAATAAGACGGTCCCACTTTCTACCAAACTGATAATTATTTAATAAAATCTAATTCACGGGGTAATAAGCACATATCCAAACCCAGTTACCAGAAGAGATTGTTCCATCATTTAAGCCATTATTCCCAATAGGCTTCTGCAATTCCTAGACCACCATGGGACAGATCAGCAGCAGCAGAGCCTAGCCTTCGCACTCCCTAAAAGAAAGTACATTTCAAAGGAGGACAAGAGAAACAACATAAAGGAGAAAAGTGGGCGCATGCGTGATAAATACATTTCAGAAATTTATAAAACTGAAAGAATGAAAGGAAAAAATCCATCCTACTCAGAATACTTTTCCTTATTAATCAGGGGAAGATTCACTTACCCTACAAACGTCAGTGAATTCCTTGAACAAATTTATATTGGCTCACATCTGCTGCATGAACTACCTGAATTACATGAATTATGACTGCATACTGAAGTACTTAAATAAACAGATACATTGGTTCTATGGTCACTGGAAGATTTTCATGGCAGGCACACACTGGTGTGCACATATCGTTCTTGTACAGTTGTATACGAGAGAAAAAAAGGCTACCTTGTCTGTCAGACTGACATGAATCTTTTGCGCATTACAATAGGCACCTTTGCCTGTTCAAGGAGAAAACAAAACGTTGAAAAACTATTTTAATCGTTATTAGAACCAGAACAAGGAAGCACGCCAATTGCTCATCAAAGATCCTACCAGAAGATGCAGAAACTGTACGAGTGCTCCAGGCCTCCAGCACATAGGCCTACCACAAAATTCCACCTAAATGAGATGGAAATATCGCATGAGTAATACGGAGGGAATCTATTTCTAAGACCGAGATAATCTGCGTGACTGTCCAATATTCCATAGTCATAGGTTCGAGAATTATGGAATAAGGAATCCCGATATGAAATGTTAGGTGTACTGAAAGAGTTTGCTAGAACAATGTGAAACTGTAAATAGGACTAGTAAATTTCATAGTTTTTCCTTTTCTATGAGTTCAATTTCATCAATTTCTCCCCCAGCTGTTAGAAAAGCATTGCACTCTAATTAAGATCCAAACCCTGTACAGAAAAGGATCCCAAGTGCATGAACCAGCTGTAGGATCAAAAACAGCAGCTAGAGGGGATCAATTACAGCTTACAGCACAGTAATCACAAGCAAGCACATGCTGAATAATAGAACATCTAAATTCAGATTGAACAGACATCTAAATTCAGTTAAAGATGACAATACACATCCCAATCTTTTAGCCATTACTACTTAATAATGTATCCTGACATACATAACCAGATCATTATAAGCCGAAACTGTATCGATCATCAGCCAACACATCAAGGTCTTGAACCTTGGCACAAGCTACAAAAACATGTATCCTATCCTTGGGGTAAACGGCGATTGCATGTATCCTATCCATGGGGTAGCAAGAAAAAAACACACAATATGAAGCTGGTCAGCTTCAGAATAGATATGGGGTGGCAAATGGTGATTGCATCATCCACTCGGTTGGAACCGCCGGTGAGCTTCGAGCAGAGTCATACCAGCTGACTGAGGTCGCTTCATCGTCCGTGCTCTCGCCTCCTGTCCAAGAATCGCAAATTCCAGCATACGGGGCACACGACAGGAAGCTGAAATTTAGCATTGCTGTCTGGCTCTGCAAGTCAGTTGGTAGTGGTTCGATGATGGGCACCGACAAGTCAAATTGATCAGAATTGTCAAAG